TGTTGAGTCTTTCCTCAAAGAACTCTGCCCTCTTCAATCTACACAACACCAAAACTGCACTCTAGGGAGGGACTCAAATTATGTTCCTTTGAGATGTTCTTTGAGTTACGGGAACAAAGCAGTTGGGAAGATCAGGTGGTAGGGGAGATGAGGGAAGGCTGCCCAATGGGATGCTCCTAGGGCAGTTCTTGGGATCCTCAACGGCGGGCGGGCATGTTGCTGTCCTGGGAAAGCAGTCAGCAGAGTAACTGTCCTGGTTCTTTCCTCCCAATGCAGTTTTCATTAAAAAAAAACAAAACAACTTTGTAACACACCTCAGTGATCATCCATGTTCTTTGGGGAAAATCTATCCAGATGATTACTTTGGGATCCTCCCTGGCCACACGGACAAGCAAACATGGTTGCTACAACCTCTCAGCTGACCTGTCTCGGATTAACTGGCCCAGCTGACCTGCATGGAAGCCATTGTTCTGGTGGGACCTTTCTCTGGATTGTATTAGTAAACCCAAGATTCAAGCCATAAAATCTTCAGTAACTTCAATCTTGCTTAAAACAATGGAAAAAAACAGCCCTTTGAGCGTACTGATTTACACACAATGCTTCTGGCACCCATTCAGCTAAAAGCAAGCCACACACTTGCTTAAAATTGAAAGTGCCAAACCATCTGATTCCCAACTGTAGTTGCTAACACAGACATCAATAATAGTAATTTTTCAGTCTTCTCTCACCAGTTTCTGGACTTCAGATAGTTTCTTCACTCTTCAAAGTTGACTATCTTACCCTCTCCTGGCTCGTCTTTGAGGTTTTCTCCCAAGCTTCCTTAAAACACTTGGTTCATTTAAGAACTTTAGATGGTGCAGGATTCCTATAAGCTGGCCATAAGAGTCAACAATGTGGGAAGATGTCCACTTGGGTTTTGTTAACATTTTGTTATTGGCCGTGCAATGCAGTGAGTTATTTAATATGGCTCTTCCAGTCTTTGCCTTTGTTCCACTGACCAAGGGACCATCATTTTCCTGATGGGTCTAGAGGGAAGATACTGATTGGCTTATATAACTCAGGTGTGATTAACAGTTAAATATGTTTCCATTCTGTTGGGTACAGACTCTGCACTACCAGCAAGACGAGAAGCTGGAATGGAGCACATCCAACCTTCTTGATTCTCCAAGAGATTTGATACTGGAAGAGTGGCAAAGGAGCAGCAGAAGCAGCACCATGAGTCAGAGCATGAGATGGAGTGGTGGACTGCTAGTGCAAGAGCAAGTATAGCTGAGTGCTTTAGGGTCAGAGGCTGGCTTGTGGAGTGGGGTCCTTCTGGACACTTAATTGGGGGAGCTGGATTTATTGACCCAGGGAGCTGGGTGCCTTCTGGTTGAAGACTATAGTGGAGTGGCATACCCACTGGGCATTTGTTGGCAGCCCTGAGCTTTGTAACATTACCTGAAAAGGGCAGAGAGGCCAGGCCAAGAAGCTTGCCTGCAGGCACAGCAGAGAAGAAACTGTCCTGATTGAACCACTGTATACTGGGCAAATTGAAACCTGTTTCACTTCTAATAAACCCTGTATTTGTGAGCTGGTCTGTGAATTCTATGAGGCAACTGCAAACAATTATGGAACCCAGCTGAACAGTAAATAGTAGTGTGGGAGGAATGGTTGTTGTCAGATTCAGATAAAAAAAAGGATGGAGGGTAGCGTTAAGGGTGATCTCTCTGCCTTGTGGCAATTAGCCTTGGGGTACTGTGCATTTGGATTCACCTTCTCTCATGTAGCCAGAAGAGGTCAGATGTGGCCTCTATGCCATTTTTACACTCCTAACTTCAAAATAAATTTTTTCCATGGCACAGAAAGTATTTTTTTTAAAACACTCTAATGAGACTAAGTGTATTATTGAAAGAATTCGTCTAGAGTATTCCGCTGATTAGAGACAGGCTGTAACATGTTTGTCTGGAGTATGTGCAGGTTTGAACTGGTACTTTGGTAGCAATGCTTGTTTACTCATATACTTGCCAACTAACAGCAGTGATGCTGATCGAAACGTGTACACCGATGTTCACTGCGGCACCACTCACAATAGCCAAAACGTTTAATAGGTGAGTGAATAAATAAAATATAGTATGTACACATAATGGATTCTATTATTCTGTAATAAAGAGATAAATCCTGACACATGCCACAACATGGATGAATCTTTGCATTGCTGAGTAAAATTAAGTTAGTAACAAAAAGGTAAATACAATATGATTCAACTAATATGAAACACTAAAAATATGCAAATATATGAGAGGGAGGGAAAGGGAAAAGAAAATTGGCTACCAATGAGTTTCTGTTTATGGTGATAAACGATGTGGCAATGGATATTGGTAATGTTCCCAAATCATTGATGTAACTGGATGCAGTGAATTGTGAAGAGTGAAGAATGTTCAATTGGCAATTGTTTTGTTATGTACATTTTTATAACAATTAAAAAGCTAAGATAAAGAAAAAGAGGAACAAAAATATCTTTCCCATCATCCCAAGCAATGGTAACCAGCAAAATCACTGTTAATAATTTCTTCTATGCCATTCTCAAAATTTTCTAGGTACATATGCCATCTTTTATTAAAAAACAATATATTTTCACTGTCATCCCAAATCACATTGTACTGATATGTTTTTAGTTAGCTATATAATATTTAATTTAATAATTCTTTTCTTAATAGACATTTTAAGTTTATTAAGTATTAGAAATAATTGTGCAATAACTGTTCATTTATGTTCATAGATGATCTTCCTAGGAGAATACGTTTTGAAATAATATATATATTGAAAGGTGACCCAACAGAATGCACAAATTATAACAGGACAGTATCATTGATATCACATGGAAATAAAATTTTGTCGAAGATCGCCCAACAATGGTGGCTGCAGTATATCGACAGGGAACTTCAGGCCTGATTTGGAAGAGGACATGACATGGAACATTACTGATGTCAAATGGGCCTTGGCTGAAAAAAGAGAATACCAAAAAGATGTTTACTTATGCTTCATTGACTATGCCAAGGCATTCAACTGTGTGGATCACAACAAACTATGGAAAACCTTGAGAAGAATGGAAATTCTGAACACTCATTGTGCTCATGCAGAACCTATACATAGACCACGGGGCAGTTGTGGGAACACAAGGGAATACTGCATGATTTGAAATCAGGAAAGGTGTGCATTAAGGCTGTATCCTCTCACCATACTTATTCAATCATATGCTGAGCAAATAATCAGATAAGAATTTGGCATCAGGATAAGAGGAAGGCTTATTAAGGATCTGTGATATGCAGATGACACAACCTTGCTTTCTCAAAGTGAGGACTTGAAGCACCTGCTGATGAAGATCAAGGGCTGAAGCCGTCGAATAGATTACAACTCAATGTAAAGAAAACATAGAAAATACTCAAAACTAGACCAATAAGCAACGTCATGACAAACAGAGAAAAGATGGAAGCTGTCAATGATCTATAATCACTGATTATGACAGCAGCAGTCCTGATGTCAAATGCCACATTACATTGGGTAAATTGGCTGTGCAAGACCTCTTTAAAGTATTGAAAAACCAAGATGCTACTTTGAGGACAAAAGTGCTCCTGAGCCAAATACCCAAGCTACGGTTTTCAATGGCCTCATCTGCACATGAAAATGCAATGCTCAGTAAGGGAGCCTAAAGAATGGCTGCATTTGAAGGATGGTGCTGGTGAAGAATACAGAAATTACCATGGGCTGCCAAAAGAACAAACCCATCTGTCTCGGAAGAAGTATGGTCAGAACGCTCCTTAGAGGCTAGGACGGCAAGAGTGTCTCACATACTTTGGACATGTTGTGAGGAGGGACCAGCCCCTGGAGCACGTCAGACTTGGTAAAGAAGAGGGGTAGCCAAAAAGAGATGGGCCTTTGATGAGATGGAGTGACACAGTGGCTCCAACACACTAATTGTGAGGATGGCACAGGGCCAGGCAGTGTTCATTCTGTTGTGCACAGGTAACCACGAATGGAACTGACTAAAAGGTACCCACCACCACCACCACCACCAAGAACATCTGGAAAAAATACCTCCTACATGTTTTCCAAACTCAATTGTACAGAGGTATGTTTCTTGGTTTTAAATTGGGCTAGATAAATGTGCTTAATATTTTTATGAAAAGTAAATTTGAGAAATATATATATCTATGATTTAAAAAGAAATTATAGATAATATTAGCCACACATGAACATTATCTGCCATTAATCAACTCTATTTCTTTATAATTAAAGTTTTTTAAAATATAGACTTTGAAGACAAGAGAAACTTAGGTTCAAGTCCCAACTCTGGCACTCATGTGTCTTAAACAGGTTATTCTTCCACGCCTGATTTATTATTTACAAAACAGGGAAAATTATAGTATCTATCTAACAGTGCTTTGTGGGATAAGTATATAAAGTGTTTATTACAGAGACAGGGAAAAGTTTGACCTCAAAAATTCATACAATATGACGCATTGATAAACTACAAACAATAAAAGCATATTATCTATGTATATTTCTAAAAAAATAGCAGTGACAACAATAATCCTCAAAATGAAGTGATGATGGTCACTTTAGGAGAATCTTTGCATTTCATAAAATAAAATATTCACAAGTCCTTCCCAATCATGAAGTAGTTATTGTGGGCAGAAATTGGTATGGGAGAAAATTTATTCAGGTTCAAAGTACCTTACAGAATAAATACAGAACTCAAGGAATTAGGTTTGTCAGATTATAATGCTATCATGCACTTCTCTAATTATAATACAACAAAAGAATTTCTACAGCAGAAGTTTCCTAACAATGGCTACAGTTTATAAATAATACTTCAAGCGTTCCATTGAATAGCTCCTAAATACAAAATTTCCTAGAGGTAGGATCACCTCGTATCTTCACTATATATAGGAAATTTGTTACATGTTCAATTTGAGACATCAAAAAAGATATTTTAAACAGACACCACGAAATGCATCTGTAGTTTAAAGGTCAAATTTATTAGGAGATTAAGAGCTGTATTATACAAGGACTATAAATACTGCACAGCTGACTTTATTCACGGTCAAGTACAGCAATATAGTCAGTGCCAACCTATTTTGTGGATACCCTTGTTCTTTTGTTCCAAGAAAAGTTTGCACCATAAGACTTGGACTTGGGTTTCGGAACTTTCCTCTCTTCAATGTCATAGCTCCATCCTGGAAGAGAAAACACAGCAACAGAATTAAAGAAATCTGAGGAACACAGCAACCAGAGGCTGACTTTGATAAATTTAGTGTTCATTTGTCATCAGGAGTAAATGCCAACACATATGAAATATAAATACCGACTTGGTAATCTGTTCCCTTATAATTCTGTGTAGCAAGAGGGTCCCAAACATTCCCTGAAGATGATTTACTACATCTCGAATTAAAGGTGTCACCTATGATTCAGTTTTTCCTTGCTGAATATTCCTTTTTCAATTACTGCAGGCTGTGTGTCATGGAGAAATGTCTATTTCTTTATGTGGGTTAACCTGTGACTTCCTTAAGTAATTGTAGTGATAAGCAACGAAAAATGTAACCTGTCTTTTCCAAAAGTGAGTGTCTTTACAGCGCACGTGCGCACACACACACACACACACACACACACACAGTTGGAATAAGAGCACCAGGTTTAGCCACCTAGATTTGGGATAGGTTACTGATTATTAAAAAAAATAATAAATTTCAAAATTGTTTCAAGATCTATCTTCATTAAAATCACAAAGAAGTACTTGATAAAAATATAATTTTTAGGCTTCACCAAAGGCCCCCTGAATCAGAAAGTTTTGTTTGTTTTCGTCTTTTATGTAACTTTTTACTGTCAATTAGATAGGGGTTTATTTTCAGTTCATCAATTTTGTCTTCAATAACGTAAACTGCTTATCAACCTCCCACTACTAGCTTTCCCTGCCCCTTCTTTGATTTCTCTTTGCCCTCTTGCTCCCAAAGTTAGATTAGAATCTGCTGGGGCTAGTGGATCAGAATTTTTAACTATTATTTGCAGGAGATTTTTATGTATAGAATTTTGAGAACTGTCTACTCTCTTACAAGAGTTTGAATCTTCCCTTCAAAGGCCTTTCAGTGTTGAGTTAATTTTTAAACATTTACTTATGACTATGTCTTCTACTTTCATTTAAATTCAGTTGTTTTAGTTCTCTTCTTGACATGTGGTACAACCTAATCAACAATCTCTTTCTCGAAAATATAATCATGCCATCTTTCTAATCCCTAAGCTAAACCACCCTGTAACTTTCATGTTTCTTTATAAGAGCCATTTCCCATCCCTTTAGTTATTTATCACTCATTTCTCTCATGACTTTCTTCAAATTACTTACCATGAAATGTGGGAGTTTCATGGTTGTATCATGCAATCATATATGAAATGCCCCAACTGAATATTACTTAGCATGCATTTTTTTGCTGAAACCAAAGAGGACTTGAAGCATGTACTGACGAAGATCAAACTCTAGCCCTTAGTATGGATCACAACTGAGTATAAAGAAAACAAATATGCTCACAACTTGACCAATCAAACAGATCATGATAAATGGAAGAAAGATGGAAATAGTCAAGGATTTAATTTTACTTAGATCCACCATCAACATTCATGGAAGTAATAGCCAAGAAGTCAAATGATGCACTGCAATGGGCACATCTGCTGCACACGAGTCTTTAACGTGTTCTAGAGCAGAGATGGCACTTTGAGAAATAAGGTTCAGCTCATGCAAGCCATGGTAATTTTTGAAAAAATCATTTTATTGGGAAGCCATAGTATTTTTAATCTCTTCATACCCACATGGAAGCTAGACAATGAGTACAGAAGACTACAGAAGAAATGAGGCATTTGAATTATGTGGTTGGTATAAAATATTTACAGTATCAAAGTCAATGAGAAAACAAACGAATTAGTCTTGGAGGGAAGTAGAACCAAAATGCTCCTGAGAAGTGAGGATAGTGAGACTTTGCCCTAGTACACTGCGCATGCTATCAGGAGAGACCATGTCCTGATACAGGGCATCAAGCTTGGTAAAGTAGGGGCTTCCCTAAAAGAGGAAGACCCTTGATAAGATGGATTGACACAGTGGCTCCATCAGTGCGTTCCAACAAAGTAACTGATTGTGAATATGGCGCAAGACTGGGCTGTACAGCAGTTCTCCTCTACCTGGAAGCACGGCGTGTCAGAAATTACTCAGTGGGTGGTAGGTGCCACCAAACTGCTTCGACTCATAGTGACTCCATGCAACAACCTACTTTGTAGTAAGCTCCAAGTGTGGATTATCCAATGAGCAAGGTGGAAAGTTTGTACAACAGTTCACAACAGATTAGTTAACTCAGTCTACCTGGCTTACTGGTACTCTCTCTATTCCTGTCAGTGATTGTAAATATGAAGAAGCTTTGATCCTGTAGGATGGTGCTGTGTTACTGGGAGAGAGGCAAACACCAGCTATACCGATAAGCAAAATCTACGATGTGATGGAAAAGAAATGTGAAATTGTTCACTACAGACTAGTAAGTAAGCACAAGTAAATATGTGCTTACTTCACTCATCAAATAATCTGATACTTGTCAGTACTCAGCAAATGTTAAATTATTTATTTCCCAAATATGATTGATCACGACTAGTAACATATTATCTACATAAAGTACAAAAACATTTTCATTACACTTAAGTTCACTAATCTTGGACTTCAATTTTTGATGCTCAGGATATAGTCTATGATCATAAAGCTAGTAAAGGACCAGGCACGGTTTTGTTCCATTACATAAGGTGGCTGAGAGCCATCTCAATGGCAACCAACAGCCACTTGACCTCATTATTCATACAGAAAGGGGTTTTGGTAAAAAATTAATAACTGAGTAAGACTAACATAATTTATATAAACTTATTACAAATTTCACAAGCATGGCCTGTTTTAGTTGGCAAATGTTGCTGATATTTAAAAAAAGGAAGAAATGGGTAGCGGGGGCACAGGGCGCTAACCCACCCAAGGGGAGGGTATTGTTTATACCTCCACAGGAAAAGAGGGACCAGACTTCAACCCAGTGCTCCAAGGTGTGAAGACAATATGCCGGCGCGGAGTAGGGAACCAGTGGAGAGGCCTGGGGGGCTGGTCCCAGGCCCAAATACTAAGTGCATGCCTGCCCCTCCCCTGAGAAGAATGTATCTCAAAGGATGGCACTGAATCTGCAGCTTCAGGAGAAAGATATAGCTGACCAGAGCACACAGGAGCAGATGACGGGGAGGAGGTGAGACTGGAGCACATCCTGGCCCACCAGGCCTTGAGAACGATGACTCCAATTAGAGCAGCCAGCCCAAAGAGAGGACCTCATGGCCAGCCCCACTATGAGACATGATGCCCCTCACTGACCCATGGCCCTGCGGGGGACAACACCAGAGACACAGTGTGGGAATTGCACCCGATCTGA